AAAAGTGCAAGTATACTGACAAACTGGCCAAGGAAAAAGCACCAACTTGTGGTGAAAAGAGCACAATCAAGCGCAGTTCACACAAACTACCGTTCAATGGCCACTCGATCGCGCTTCCAATCCCCGTAGTAAGTCAGCGGTCAACGTTCTGCGCACGCGTCGTTAAAAAAAAGTCCCCAGCCAATCAGCGGTTTTTGAGACCTGTCACTCCCGTTGTTTCAAAATGGAGGAGCGGAGAAGAACTTTGACCAGCGAGTGCCATTGTACAAACTTTCGGACAATATTGTCATGGGGTTTTCCTATTTATGAGGTCCTCTGTTGGAGCGCCAAGTTTGAATATATATTGCCTGTTGTATAAAGAAAAACCTTGTTCAGTGATCTTGGAGGGAATGGCGGATAGCAGTCATGGAGTTCTACCTTTGTAAAGAGTGTTTTCGTCTTCACTTGACCCCGGCAAGACGTGGTACGCGCTAAATGCTGCTTTATGTTCCTGTAAACTGTCAAACTCCTGTTCTTCCTCATCTGCAAAGCTATTTGCAGACGAATATCAGTTCGTAGATCTTTCAAATCTTCGTGGAGATGGAGGAGTTCCCGCCTCCTACTTATGGTTTTCCAGCTTCAGAAGGACCGAGAAAGTTTACGTTGCGACGGCCTTTGGTCTGTTACTCGGAATTCTGCGACAGAGGACTCTAGAAGACTGCCCCTTCATACGATCCGATTATTTTAAAGCGTCGATGTCGTCCATCAATTCTTTTGAGTTCAACCATGAAGATCGGTCCGAAAGTGCGGATGAAATCCGCCTGAAATCTCATGTAGCGGCAATAGAAGTCCAGGGGCACTTACCATTTACATGGGAAAACCGGAAATTCCAGTTGGAAAATCAAATGGTTCGCGCCATTCCGTTTGGGAAACTTCAGAAAATATGGGCTGTGATTTGAGGTGATGCTATTTTTCTGCTGTTTTAAGTCTCTCTAGCTGATGTGGATATACTTTATACCGATTCCCTCTCCCGCAACGTGGTATTCAATTGTTTAATGTTTATGCCTGAAATTTCCAACCGGATGGTTTTTGTAAATGGTAAGCACCCCAGCTTTCTTCAGCGGCGAAAGAGATTTTGACATTAAGGAACCAGTTAAGGTCCGGTCAGTGGTCAGTGCAGTACTCAACTACGAATACTCCACCGATTTCGCCATGCTCTTCTGTTCCGCCAAAATTTCAAAGCGCGCCAAATCTGAAGCGACGGAGTACCATTGAAGAAATTGAGGCAGATCCGGACCTCTTGCCCGAGACGAAAAGGAAAAAAATCAGAGACACTGCAGTGGGTTTGATGGGTCAAGTAAATAACCTCTGTGAAAGGAACGGAGAGACTTTTGGAACCATTCTAAAAGAATGCTGTCTCTCGGCACGAAAAGATGACCTTGGGGCCCGAGAAGCTGTCATCAGCACATTTGATAACATGGTGCAAGTAAAGGGAGTCCGTGCTGCCTTCTCCAAGCTCGTGTCCGAAGAATCTTGGCAAAAGAGAGTGAATGAAATGAGAGTTCCAGACTGGGTCTACCTGCTATTTAAACTGAAGTCAAGAATTTCTGACACAGCTTGGCAAGATTTTACCAATTTAACAAAACTTGGAAGAACTGGGGTAAGTTTAATTCTTGATTATGGTTTGTAACTTTTTTATGTTTGATTTTCTGCGTTGAATTTTTGGAACTGCAACATAGTTATTTATTAACTGTAGTGGTTGTTAATGATTGTATTTTTAGGAAAGATCTATGTTTAACCACAATCATTATATTTATTTTTAAGTTTATTGGCTTTTTCTGCTATAAATTTGGTTGTAGTATCTACCATATTAAAAATAATTTTGTGGGAATATTGTGGATTTTCCAAGCCTTTCCACAATAAAAATTATGTGAAACAAAAAAATCCAATATTTATACAAATGAAATTGAGTTGATTTTGAAAGGGATTAAATGGTAAATATCATATTTAATGTTCTCTTTCATTTAATGTTGACAGAAAAAGTCAGATGAAGATATAATTCTCTTGAAGAACAACATCAGTGCACTAAGGAAGGGAATCTTTAATGTCACAAGAAGCCTCATGGGTGTGGAAAGTCTTTCACTTCCTGGCTATGAAGTCAGCCTCCAGAAAGTGACTGTTTGGATTATTAGGGGAATGCGACTGCATGGTTGTCCACCAAATGAGATTGTTTTCAATCTAAAGATTGATGGCCGCCCTTTCTTTGGTATGAAAATTAACAACAATGTAATTATTTGTATTGTAGCAACAGGTACATGTAGCCTGTAGAGTCGTTTACCACACAATCAATGTAGCTTCCATTTAATGTTTTCTGATAACAAAAAGCAGGCCATGCAGTGGGAAAACAAATATGATGTAATGATACATTTGTAAATGATAAATGATAGTGCAACATTATTAGCATTAGAAAAGAATGAAAACGTTGTCGTAACTCTGCACATAATGATAATAAGAATGATGATGATAATAATAGTAATGATAATAGTGATAATATGCACCACTTAAACACTATACACTACACTGTACCATTTAAACACTATACGTTACACTTAAACACTACACTGTCCTTAAGCACTATGTTGTATTAAAAACTATGTTGTATTATAATAAAGTTTCCATATAACGCACGCTCTATATGGCTGAAACAGCGTGCTTTATCAGAGAACAGAGCACGGGTTGATGACGGTAAGTTGGCTTCCAAATTTTTGCTTCGGAATTTTGACAAATTTGACCTAAATTAAACATCCCCTGTGACTCAGACAAACGCAGTGAAAGCGAGCTATTTTTCTGCAGTAAATATGGCTCACAGAGACCATTGTTAGCAACAGTAGT